AATACAAGGCAGTGGTTGAACCAAAGCAGGTGGCAATCATGCACTGTTCCGGTCACCAGAAGTAGACACTACCGAAGCAAGGGGAAATCAAGCTGCCACTAGGGCAGTCAAAAGAGCTGTAAGAGAAAGCCACCATTTATTAGAGCTCTGATACCCCAGCATGAACTGGACCAATACAAGCCCATTTATACTGAGGAAGATGAAAAATGAGACAAAGAATGGGCTGTTATTATTTTTTTTAGTTGTAGTTGGACACAGTACCTTTATTTTGTTTGTTTACTTTTATGTGACACTGAGGAACGAACCCATGCCTCGCACGTGCTAGGCAAGTGCCCCTACCACTGAGCCACAACCCCAGCCCCAAAGAATGGGGTTTCGATTCCTGGTATAATACTGCCAGGTGGAGACAAAATTCCCAAGGACTCATCCTCCTGTCTGAAAGACTGGTCTGGTCCTTGGTGAAACATCTACATGTGAATACACACAATGGGAGGGATACTTTGGTGAATCTTATCAAGCCCCATTTGCAAGGACCACACCTCCAAAAAACCACTCAGCAGGTTACTAGAAACTGTGCATCATATGCCCGTAAAAATTCCAAAACTGACAGGCAGGCTACTGTGAGGAACACAACATGTGGGAACGAAGACTTTTGATGATTTTACCTAAATGCCCCATACCATAGGAAACTTCAGATATTTGCTTGTACAGATGGACACCTTCTCTGGGTGTAGAGGCATATTCTACCTGAAGAAAAAAGGCTTCAGAAATAACTAGAGTTCTCTTAAAGGAGCTGATCCCAAGATATAGGCTCCTTTCCTCCATGCAAAGTGACAAAGGACCATCTTTTATTGCTAAAGTGACCCAACAAGTGAGCAAAGCAATGGATATCCAGTGGAGACTACACGCATCCTGGAAACCCCAATCTATAGGAAAAACAGAAAAAAATAAACCACATCTTAAAAAAACAGTGGCTAAATTATGCCAAGAAACCACCTGCAGTAGGATAAGATGTTGCCAATTGCTCTCCTCTGAATATGGATGGCCCCTAGAAGTGGGCTCAAATTGAGCCCCTATGAAATAGTGTATGGGAAAGCCCTTCTGCCAACCCAGGAGAAAGGGGAGAATATAGCTAAAGCAGGAAAAATTAGGCTAAAACAGTGTGTACAACAAATCAATCAATATTAACCATTATACATGAGTATACTTCTTTCAGGTCCCCTCCAAGTTTGGAATCACCTCTTCATTCCTTCCAGTCTGGAGACCAGGTGCTACTTAAGACCTGGAAAGAGGGCTGAGGTTGTGGCTCAGCAGTGGAACGCTTGCCTACCACATGTGGGACCCTGGGTTTGATCCTCAGTATCATGTAAAAATAAATGATATAAAGGTATTGTGTCCAGCTACAACTAAAAAATAAATATTAAAAAAAAAAAAAAGACCTGGAAAGAACAGGGACTGGAGCAACAACTGTGAGAAAAGTGGACAGGACTTAATGACATGCTTCTGATAACCCACACATCCCTGAAACTTGCTGGAATAAAACCTGGGTTCATCATACTACAGTGAAAAAGAATCCAAGAGACTTGCTGGAAGTTGCATCCCCCGAATGGACATCAGAACCCTTAGGAGATGTACTTGTTTGAGGAAACATAATGAGAGATTTGATGCCTTTACCAACTTTGATGCTTATCCCCATTCCCTCTCTAGGCTGAAAGAACAATAATTTGGTTAGAATAGCATAGACCTTGGCTACCTTGAATCAGGAGGTTGATTGATGATCTGCCTTCCAAGAGCACAATCTTCCATGGACCATGATGACCCCTTTGTACATCCAGTTATAAACTTACTCAGATACCAGATGAAGGGAGACTGGGCACCGACATGAGACCTCGGAGCCTGCACCATTATGTATTGTGTTCGAGTAATGCATTACACAGCTGAGACACTCTTCAATGTTCCCTTTCTCACTCTTCCTCTTATTCATCTAATGCCATTTTCCTGGTCCATAGAGAAATACAAATTCCAAAATATCTTGAAAGGAGATCTCCTCCAGAACAAGAACAAACACCTTTGTGTGTACAAAATATTGTCTAATTTCTCACAGAAAAGATTACAGTGTAACTAATTGCTTACTCCTTTCCAGACCATTCTTGGATGGAATGCACAGAATTAAAAGTTGGGAATTATTTCCTATTGGGGACCTACTAGATTTCTTTAAAGAAACAATGGTTTTCTGAGTTCCTGCAGTACAGGTGTTCACATATAAAATTAATAACTATCCTTGGGCTATCAAATGCCTCAGAAACTTCACAACTCCCACCCAATGCTTTCTAGGGAATTTAGACACCATTTCAATTCATTATTTAAAGGAATCAGCTCACTGGGCAAGCTCCCTAAAGCTTTTTACTGGACTGGCACAGGACCTCCCTAGTAGAATTCCTGATAGCAATGAATACTTTTCTGGCTACCTTACTGCCCTGGTGGGGAATTGGGGCACACTATTGGGTCCTCCAAAATCTGTCAAAAACTTTGATCAACTTGGTCAATAAGACAGCCTTGTCCGTCTCAAATTTACAGACTTGTCTGGACTTCTTGGCCAAGGTAGTTCTAAATAACTGCATGGCATTAGACTATCTGTTAGCCGAGTAAGGAGGAGTTTGTACTATAGCTAATACATACTGCTGCGTTTATATTAACACCTTCTCACAGGTGGAGACCTGTATTTAAAAGATCAGTAACTAGCAACCTGGCCACAACAGACCCTTGACCACCATACATCCCTTTTGGATGGAATGGGAATAGGCCTAAGTGACTGGTTTTCTAGCCTCTTCTCTTGTATACCAAGAAATATTAAGTCTATTTTGCTACGTCTTCTCTTCCTCATTCTGACTACCTCACTCATCACTGCCCTTGTGTATGTGTCTTTCCATTTACTGCTCTGTTGCTGTTCCACCCTTTGCAGCTATGCAACAAAAAAACAGAAGAGAGAATAGGTAACAAGTAAACAGCTTGGAAATATAGTTGCCCACTTTCCATAAAAATGGAAGCTACAAATTGACAGTGGAGAAATGGAACAAGGATTCATTTGATGCTTTGACTATATCCCTTGTCGCTTTAAAACTTACATGTTTTTTTCTTTTTTCCGACTTTCTTTTCCCTGGTCCTCTTTTCTCTGACCTTCTCTTCCCTGATGTTCTGTTCCCTGATCTTCTCCTTCTTGATCTCTCCTGCCTAATCTCATTTTCCTCAATCACCTCTTTAAACCACCCTAGCTCCCCACACCCCCCCTCCCCGTTCCCCCATGATAGAATCATAGGCTCTGGGACAAGAGTTCCCTGAATTTCTCCTTTGTTAACAAAGCAATATAACTTTTTCCTTTTTCTTTTAATTTTTTTAGTTGTAGATGGACACAATTGCTGTATTTATTTATCATTTTATGTAGCGCTGAGGATTGAATCCAGTGCCTCAGACATGCTAAGCAAACGCTCTAGCATTTTCTAGGGTAAGGACATAAAAACAACTGAGATACTAAGGGAAAAACCTGGTAAATATAGGGAATAGCTAACAGTTTGGGTACTGGTATAGAAATAAGGAAAATAAGAGTACTGAGATTAGTCAGCCCAGATCCATAAAGGCTTTGAATACAAGTCGGAGTCTAACTTATATTCCTTCTATAAGGAAAATTCAAAAATTTATAAGTAATGAAATAAGTTCACAAATGTACACTCCAAAGGTGAGTATTACATAACATCTAAAAAGTACTGGGGAAGAAATCTGTCCTCTGCTACTATGAGAAACCTACAAAGTAATTAGGCAGGTGGGGAAAAAAATGGAGAGAAAGTGTGAGGGAGAAATACTAACACAACTGGATCAGTAAATTTTAAAATTAGTTAAACTTGGGAAGAAACAATGATTCAAATTTCAAGCCTTAGTTCAGTGAACTGCACTGAAAAAAAAAAAAAAATGGCTCCCAAACTTCACAAATCACTTATCTACTTTCCTGAATTCCACCATATTTTAATTTCTTTTTTTAATTAGTGATTTTTTTAATACTTCTATTTTATTTATTTATTTTTATGTGGTGTTGCTGAGGATCAAACCTAGTGCCTCACATGTATTAGGTAAGCTCTCTGCCACTGAGCTCCAGCACCAGCTCCCATATTTTAACTTCTTAACTGGACTAAATTATTTTTACCTGTAGAGTGAAACAAGTACCTTGCAAGAACTTGGTATAGTAACTAACACAAAGATTCAAAAAGTCTGGAAGGTTCTAAGTAAAGGAGGGAAATGATCTATTAATTGTACCCAATATAGCATGCTTTTTAACAGTAGAATAATCCTATAATCATTTATTCACAAAAAATAGGAACTAAAATTCCCATATCCATTGGTTCATTGGTATATCCCCAATGCTTAGAATAGTGTCCAGTATAATGTTAGTACTCAATTTGTTGAGTACACATGTGAATGAAAAAAAGAAAGAATCACAGCCTCTGGGACAGGAGTCTCCTGTGTTTCTCCTTCGCTAGTAAAGCAATAAATCTTTTTTTTCTCCTTTTTTTCAAAAAAAAAAAAAAAGAAAGAAAGAAAGAAAAAGAATTTTAAGAAAGGTTCTATGTTGGTTTCAATGTTTCTGAGGGTTCAATATTCTCTTCCAATCTTTTTATTTTATTAAAATGGTCTTATAAAGCTAATTCTCCTTTCACAAATATAAAAGCAAATTTAGTATAGGTTATAACAATGATTTTAAGTAATACTAAATTATTAAGCTATGAAAAGCAAATAAAAATCATAATTTAACATATTATCACATCCCAAGAAAACAACATCAGAGATTTTACACATTTTTAGGAATGCCTATTTTTAGGTTTGGTTCCATTTTATAATTTCAAATGTTATTTAGTTAAACTTGTGATAAAAAGTCAAAATCAACCCATACATGCATGAATTTAAAGGCAATATTTGTTACTAAGTGAGAAATTTGTGGCTTATCATCTTACCAGGTCTCTCCTTTCCAGTGCCTTTTGACTCAGCAAATTTTTGTATTAAACTTTCAATGGTTGTATTAGCCATATTGTTTATAAATTCTTCATGAACCTATTAAAACAAAGAAAAAATGTTTATTTATCCATAAATATTTTTACTGTATTTCAGATAAAACTTCTACAAAGCAATTAAAATTTTTTACACAAAAAAATTATTGTCTTGATCCAAGGGCATTTGGAAACTTTCATTTACCTAACATACTATTACCTAACAATATTAGCAGATCTGTGAAGACCAATGACTGCTTACCTTTGCTCCTTTTAAGATATGGCCTCACAGCATTAGAAATCAAGGTAGTTTCCAGTTCTTATATTTTGTCTTTTTTTTTTTTTTGGTGCTAGGGATTGAACCCAGGGCCTTGCACATGTGAGGCAAGCACTCTACCAATTGAGCTATATCCCCAGCCTTCCAGTTTCTTTTGAATGTTTTAGACATAAAATTCTTATGATAATTAAAACTTATAAAGACAATGAAAACGGTTTGGAGGTTTATTTATTTATTTATTTAGTTGTTGATAGGTCTTTATTTTTATTTATTTATATTTATGTGGTGCTGAGGATCGAACCTAGTGCCTCACATACGCTAGGCAAACGCTCTACCACTCAACTCAGCCACAACCCCAGCCCTAGTTCGGGGGTTTTAATAGTAAAAAATAAAAGACTTCATCTTTCTGTATTGTTATTTCAATGCACCCAAAATTCTCATCACTAAACTTCTTTTATATTTCCAGGACATTTCTAAGATCAATTTCTCTAACTTACTGAAGTTTAAAACAGAAATATTCAAGAATCAGCAACTTCAAACTTAAAATGTAAAGAGGATTGAACATACTTAGTTTTGAAAAATAATCTGAATTATAATGCTTATTAACCAAAAATAAAAAATGCTTGTAATCACATATTCATTATCTGAAATAATTCAGTATCATATTAATTTTAGACAGTGTGACAAAGATTCATAAATAGCCATAAATAAACATAAAATGTCAAAAATTGATTCAACATAAACTAAAAATACTTACCTGGCCTATTTGCAAATGAATTTCCTTTATAGCATTTGACAAGGATCCGATTATTTCCTTTATGTGAATGAGATGAGTTTCTTCAATATCTTGAAATTTCTGGGTAGCAAATATAAAGTTATATATATACATATATATATGCACACATAAATAAAGCATATATGTATACAATTATATATTCTAAATCAAAGAGATTTTATAAATCATCTCAATACTGATAACCAAATTAAGCAAGTTACTATTATTACATAACATTTAACAATACCTCTCCACAAATGATTCTTCAATATATCTATTAATTTACTGAAATATAACATTGAGAAAAGTTAACTTTTTGTTATATCATCTCTTTGGCCAATATGAACTTTTTCAAAGTTTAAAGATACTACATGTTAAATTCTATAGTCATAATTTTTTAAAAAAATTAGCAGATCAAGAGGCAAATAATGTTACAAAACCCAAGGAAGAAGAGTTTCCAAAACTGAAAAACAATTAGCTGGTAGAGGAAAATTATAGTTTACTTCTGAAGACTACAATCTGTCCAAAGATCTCAAAATGTCATTCTAAGTTCTTGAAATTATTAAAATAATCCCAAGAAGATATGTTCTGTGAATGAAAAAATTAGGGAAAGAAGCTCTTTTAACCAAAGGTGGAGATGCTCCAGATCATGTAGGGGACATTTTCAAACTATAAAACACATTGATTCACCAATACTATTTGAGGAATGGGGATGAAAACAGGTAAGAATATTGTTTGGAAAAAATTCCAAGGTATTGTAGTATTTATTCCCTCTGAGATTAAAAAGTAAAACAAAACAAAAAACCACTCCTAGCCTTGGCTTCACAATAAACATACTAAAAACTCTTAAGAGCGAATGGGGTTATAGAGTGGTACTTTTCCATCATGCTCAAAACTTAGGTTTGATCTCCAGCCCACATACATATAAGCACATACAAGCATGTACACACACACACACACAAAAAAAAAAAAAAAAAAAATTCAAAAATACTCAAATAAGGAAACATTTCACTTTGCTTAACCCAGCATTTTATAAATTTATTTGTAGCAATTTGTAAATTTCTTTGATCTCACAACCTTTTTTTATTCTTTTTCCTTAAATATTACTATCTCACAAAAGAATGTTCCTCAAAACAAGGGTTTGGGAAATGCTGAATCAGACATTTTAAAACAACATACAATTGTCATTTCTACTGCACAAATCTGATTAAACTTTTCTTTCCAGGAAAATAGCAGTTCTAAGGAATGGGCCTAACAGCTTTGTTATATTTTCCTCATAGTTTATCAAATTACATTCCTTCATCTCATAGTGATGTCCAAACTTCTCTAGCACTGAATTACATGATCAGAAAACACTAAGCCAAATTATATCTACATTTGTGTAGATAAAATAAACTTCTAAAGAAATCAATAAGGGGTCTGGGGTTGTGGCTCAGTGGTAGCACGCTTGCCTAGCATATGTGAGGCACTGAGTTCAATTCTCAGCACCAAAAACAAATTTTAAAAAAAGGTCCATCAAAAACTAAAAAATAATAAAAAAAGGAATCAATAAGGACAAAATTACTTTTATAGCAGTAATGTAACAATACCCAAAAAATTTAAGTCCATTTTATTAATGAGGAATGGTAGAATTAAAATAAAGCACTGTCATTGATTAATTCTCTAAGCCAAAGAGAATACTTCAAAATCCTGGATTATTCTCAATAGAAATATATTCAGTAGTAAAATGATATTTCATATTAAAATAAGTGGTCCTCAGCTTAAATTTCAAAATTTTAATGAATAATGTATTTTCTTATAGACTGGGAGAACTAAATACAGTAAAGCTGGGCAATAGAACCTTTAATTTCAGGGGATAACCACTAACTTCAAGGAAACTGCATCTTCATTCTTCTTTTTCAAAAAAGCAAAATCAGTGCATTAGTTATACATAATGGTGGGGTTGATTTCAAAATATTAATAAAATCTTGGAATATAATTTGCTCCATTTCAGTTCCCAGTGCTTTTATCTTGCAGTCTCCTCCTCCCTCCCCTTGTTTCCCCTTCCTCTGCTCTACTGATCTTCCTTCTATTTATTTCTATTTTAATTGGGACTTTGTAGATACATCCAAAGGCCAAATTCACTGTATCAAATTAATACCACATTCCTTCATTTTTTCTATCCCTCTTCCCTCCTCTTCAGTCTCCTTTACTCCACTGATCATACCGCTGTTTTCGTGAGATCCATGTGGCCCCCTACTTCCACCACCACCTGCTTGCTTAGCTCTAACTTCTGCATATGAGAAAACATTTCATCCTGGACTTTCTGGGTCTGGTTTACTTCACTTAGCATGATATTCTCCAGTTTCATTTATCAGGAAATGCCATAATTTCATTCTTCTTTATGGCCAAGTAAAACTCCATTGTGCACACAAACCACATTTTCTTAATCCACTTGTCTATTGATGGGTACCTGGGCTTGTTCCACAGCTTGGCTATTGTGAATTACACTGCAGCAAACACTGATGTACCTGTATCACTACAGTATGCTGATTTCACTTCTTGTGGATAAATACCAAGTGGTGGGATAGCTGGGTCATGTAGTAGTTCTATTCCCAATCTCTTCAAGAATCTCTATACTGCTTTCCAAAGTGGTCATATTAATTTACAGTCCCAGCAACAATTCATGGGTATCCCTCCCCCCTCACCCCATCTTCACCAGCATTTATTATTGTTTGTGTTCTTGAGAATGCCACTCTAACTAGATTGAGATGGAATCTCAAAGTGTAGTTTTGGTTTGCATTTTCCTGTTTGCCATGGATATTGAACATTTTTTCACATATTTGTTGACCATTTATATTTCTTCCTTTGAGAAACATCTGTTTGGTTCTTTTGCCCATTTATTAATTAGTTTTTTGTTTTGTTTTGCTGTTTTCTTGAGTTGTTTATGTATTCTGGGTATTAATTTTCCCCATCAGAGGAGTAGCTGGCAAATATTTTCTCCTATTCTGTAGGCTCTCTTGTCATGCTCTTAATCATTTCCTTTGCTGTTCAGAAGATTTTTTAATCTGATGGCATCCCACTTGTTGATTCTTGGTTTTATTTCTTGAGCTTCGGGGATCTTGTTAAGGAAGTTGCTGCCTGCGCCAATATGTTGGAGTGTTGATCCTGTTTTCTTCTATCAGTTGCAAAGTTTCTGGTCTAATTCCAAGGTCTTTGATCCACTTGATTGGACTTATATGCAGGGTGAGAAGGACCTAGCTTCATTCTACACATGGATATCCAGTTTTCTCAAAACCGTTTGTTAAGACTATATTTTTTTCCAAGATAGATTTTGGCACCTTTGCCAAGTCTCAGATGACTGCAGCTACGTGGGTTTATCTCTGTTCTATTTCATTGGTCTTCATGTCTTTTGTGTGTGTGTATGTGGGTGTGCCAATACCAATACCAATACTCTTTTTGTAATCTGAAACCAGGTGGTGTGATGATGACTCCAGCATCATTATTTTAGCTCAGGACTGCTTTGGCTATTCTGGGTCTTTTATTCTTCCACATGAATGTTTGGACTGTTTTCTCTAGTTCTGTGAGAATATAATTGGTACTCTGATGGGGATTGCACTGAATCTCCGTAACCCTTTTGATAATATGGTCATTTTGACAATATTAATTCTGCCTATCCAAGAACACGTGAAATCTTTCCATCTTCTAAGGTCTTCTTCAGTTTCTTTCTTCAGCATTCTATAGTTTTCATTTTAGAGGTCTTTCACCACTTGGTTAGATTTATTCCTAAAAATAAATCTAACCAAGTATTTATTTTGGTGGGGGTAGGTTATTGTGAATGGGATAGTTTTCCTGATTTCCTTCTCAGTATATTCACTACTGGAGTATAGGAAAGCTATTGATTTATGAATATTTACCTTATATTCTACAACTTTGATAAATTTATCATCTCTATAAGTATTCTGGTGGAGTTTTTTGAGTCTTCTAGATGTAGAATCATGTCATCTGCAAACAAAGATAATATGACTTCTTCCTTTGCTATCTGTATCATTTTAATTTCCTTCTCTTGCCTGATTGCCGTACTAGAGTTAGAAAAACTATCTGAATAAGAGTGGTGAGAGTAGGCATCCTGGTTTGCTCCTGGTTGTAGAGGAAATGTTTTCAGTATACCTACAATATTGGCTTCAGGTTTGTCATATATAGCCTTTATGATGTTGAGGTAAGTTCTTTCCATCCCTAGCTTTTCCACTGTTTTTAACAAGAATGGGTCCTGAGTTTATCAAAAATCTTTTCTGACTCGAGATGATCATGTGATTCTTGGCCTTAATTCTGCTTAAGTGGTAAATTACATTTATTGATTTGCAGATGTTGAACCAACCTTGCATCATGGAATGAAACATACTTGATTACGGTATGTCATCTTCTTGATGTGTTTTTGAATGTGGTTTGCTAATATTTTATTTAGGATTGTTTGCATTAATGTTAATCAAGAATACTGGTCTGCACTTTCCTTAATGCATATTTGTGTGGTTTTGGTATGATGGTTACTCTGGCTCCATAGGATGTATTTGGAAGTGTTCCCTCCTATTTCATGAAATAATCTGACAAAGAATGATGTTAGATTTTTTTAAAGGTCTCATAGAGCTTGGCTGAGAATCCATCTGGTCCTGGGCTTTTCTTTGTTGGAAAGCTTTCAACTGCTCCTTCAATTTCATTGCTTGCTTAGGTTTTCTATATCTCCCTGTTCTATATGGGCAGGTCTTTCTTATGTGTCTAGAAATTTGTCCATGTCTTCCAGATTTTCCATTTTACTGGAGTGTAAGTTTTCAAAATAGTTTCTAAAGATTCTCTAGATTTCAGAGTGTCTTTGGTGATATCTTTTTTTCATCTCTAATTTTGTTGATTTGGGCCTTGTCCCTCTATCTTCTAGTTAGTTTACTAAGAGTTTATCAACTTTGCTATCTTCTCAAAGAACTAACTTTGTTGCACACAACCTTTGTAATATTTTTTGTTCTCAATTTCATTCATTCTTTTAATCTTAATTATGTCCTTCTTAATTATTTCCTGTCTTCTACTCATTTTGGAATTAGTTTGTTTTTCCT